ATTAAATCTAAGATTAGATGTCACTGATGCAGCTGTCAATATGATTGCATGTGCCAACAATTTACAGTTTAGGCATAGCATTTGCATAGCCCATGCTCTAAAGCTATTGACTTCTCATGGCTTCAAGACATAAGGAGCCAGGCAAGGAAGACTGTTGCTTATTTTAGAACAAGCACTGTAGCAAAGGAGTGACTTGCAAGTTTCCAGCAAGAGATGGGCATACCTTCTCATAGAATTAGACACACACTGGAACAGCACATTTGACATGCTGTCTAGACTGTATGAACAGCGTTAACCAGTTAGTGCTGCACTGGTGTCACTGAGGACAGATTTGGGTGCTCTGTCCTCAGCGGAGTACCACACGATGTCTGAGTGCATTGGTGTACGATCTCCACTGAAAGAGACGACTGTTGAACTTTCAGCAGAAAAAAAACTCCCTGGTTTCAAGGTCATTCCCCTCATCCACATGTTGAGGCATGCTATAACAACAAAGCAGCATGGAGTGACTGATGAGAAGGCAACACAGCTCTGCAACAACATCTTGGCTCATTATGAGACATCAAGCCAAATGACCCTTGCCAATATCCTGGATCCCCATTTTAAACTACATATACCTCTGGCAAACAGTCTGGTGTGCTGGCTGGCTTGAAACAGACTGGAATGCCGGAATGGACACACTACTGAATTCTGGGTCTAAAGCGGACTCGTTACTGAATTCTGGGGTTGGAGTAGACTCTTAACTAAACTCTGGGGCTGGAACAGGCTCTTGACTGATGTTGAGAGAATGAGAAGATTCTGGGGCTGGAGCCAACACTGGAGCAGACTCAGGCTGGAACTAACACTGGAGCTGGAGCCGGAGCCGACACTGGAGCGCACTCAGGGGCTTGAGCCAACACTGGACCAGACTCATAACTGAACTCTGGGGCTGGAACGGGCTTGACTGGGACAGACTTGTAAATCACAGGAAGAGTAAGTGGTCTTTCAGGACTAGCTTGACTGAGTAGAAGGGCGTAGAGAATATATTCTTCTAAAGTGCACCTATTCATACCTTGTGTATACGGTTGTAGCCAGTTCCAGAAAATCCCAAGTGTATTCCTCAATGGGGTGGACATCTTGGTTGAGGGAGAGCAGCAAGTCAGTTGGGAGAAGAAGTAGGCACATGGTTGCTGTTGTAGGTCCGGTCCTTCTGTCATATAAACAGAAGATGATGACTCAGAGGTAACGTGCACAATGAGGTTTTTATTAGCAGAGATGTTAGAGAAGCTGATGGCACAAACAGGTGAAGGAATAACAGTCTTTGTCTTGCAGGTACTGGCTGGTATGGCAGAAAACTGGTGAACACTGAAGACTGGAGAATAACAGGTAAGAGAATGGGATTGTGAAAGTACTCTTTAAATTAGACCAATAAAATTGGGTCTTGTAGATCAGTGTTTCCCAACCGGGGTACCGCGTGTCGAGAGGAGGGGTGCCGTGTAAAAAAAATATTTTTTTTGTATTTTTAAATTGCTAAAATGTTCAAAAAAGCATCTATTATATAATATCCATTTCTGATGTCGCCAATAATTAGACATGCACCGAAATTTCGGCTGCCAAAAAATGAGTTCACCGCTCAGGATTCACTTTCATTGATGGTGTTTACAGGAATATTCCAGGTTATTTTCAACTTCATGTTGAGGAATAGCATGTGCGGCTTACTTTAGATTATTACAGACAATGACTTCAACTCTCAGTTGTAGTGGTGTGACGCTCTGCGTATTATCCCGCTCTATGTGTGTGCGCTCCGCTCAGTCGCTCCACTCATATACCGTTCATGCTCATCGGAACAGCAAAGTCCACTCAAAAATTGAGCTGACAGGAAACATCGATGTAGTACAGTATTGTTTCTGTCTGCAATAGCCCTACTGTGTTGTAACATGGTGTGGTATATGGGCAACTCTGGTAACGCTGCCCTCTCATTCATTGATCTGCTAACCGCTATGCTCAGGTGTTCTGATAATAATAGCTTTCTAGGACTAAACATTATTTGGATAATTGGTAAAAAAAAAAAAGTTAAATATCTTAACCCTACTGTTAGTCCTACCTGAAAAACTAAAAAGCAATTTATTTAATTTGAAGGCCTGTCGTTATTTTTTTATTTGTGCTATCATTATTAATTTCTTAATTTGTTCTTATTTTATTACTGACTGCTTACTTGTAATTTTTTATTCAATTCAAAGTTTGAAATCAAGCTATCTCGTGCTACTGCACCAAAATTACCCCACTGTAAAATTTTAAAAACACATAGCTAGTTATAATGGTAATTAAATAATGTTTACATATGTATAAAAGCCTACATTAAAATCTGTCATATAAATTGGTCTCTTCATTAGAAAAGCTACTGATTGCCACCATTGATGGACAACATTTTTTAATAATATTAAAAATATCTGTATGACATTATATTCTGCAGTTCTTCCCTGTTGTACCGAATATCTATAATTTTCAAATTATTATATCGAAGTTAGAAATTCAAATATTGTGACAAAATTAATTTTGTAGGGTGCCACAAGTTTGTTAAAATTTCCGAAGGGTGCCGCAACTAAAAAAAGGTTGGGAAACACTGTTGTAGATCATTGCGATAAATGATCTGTTCAGAAATACAATGTGATTTTTGTATTCTAATGTGTTGCACTTTAAATGTGTTGGGCTCTTAAACCTTTTCAGTGGTGAGTTTAAAATATTCTAGCGGTTCCCCTAGAGTGAGTTTTTTTAAGGCGACCCTTATTTTAGAACGTTTGCCCTTACTGTTTCCATTGTGACGCGTCAGGCTTGTCACATGACACACCGCAGCCACAATAACACTGTATGACAGATGGATCGCTTTTATTTCGTTTTTCCTTTTTTATTTAAAATATTCACAAACTTGCATACCATGTCATGAACAATCTGATATTCCGATTCACAAATATGTGTAAATGAGTGTGTCTTGTCATTTAAAAACCTTTCTAAATAATCTTGATCGTGAGATGGGCGCCACCATGTTTGTATGCGCTGCAGTTCAGAGTCCTGTCAGTTGGATTTACAGCACGTGAATTCATCAATTTCTTCCGAAATACAAGTAATAAGTGGCCGGTGAACTGGGTGAAGAATAGAGTGAACTTTATAATTACTTACACTTTAACATATCGTCTGCATTTGTGCTCCTGCTCATTACCTTCTGCATGATTCTTAATGTGTTTTTGGAGTACATGACCAGCATATGCATCCTGCTGGTCTTCAGGCTCAGGACTTGAAGTATGACCATATTAGCCCGGTTCTGTCAATACTGCACTGGCTCCCTATCGTATACATTTTAAAATCTTGCTAATTACTTATAAAGCCCTAAATGGTTTAGTTCCTCAGTACTTGAGTGAGCTCTTATGGCACTATAGTCATTCACGTCCACTGTGTTCTCAAAACATTGCTTCCGCGATCTGGTCATCGATGGACCACTCTTTCAGGCTTATAATGATAGCTGGAGGGAGAATGGGATCAGGAGGAGCTGGGGGGGGGTAGACATGGGACAAAGCATTCGCTTTTTGGTTCCTACTCCCAGGCCGGTAAGTGAAGTTGAATCTGGTGATGAAGAGAGCCCAGCGGGCTTGACATGTGTTCAGTCTCTTGGCCTCGCTGAGATACTCAAGATTGCTGTAGTCAGTGATGACTTCAGATGGGTGTTTAGCTCCCTCCAGCCAGTGTTGCTATTCTACTAAAGCCAGTTTCATAGCCAGCAGTTCGTGGTTACCGATGTCATAATTGCGCTCTGCCATGAGGTAAAAGGCACATGGATGGAGTGTGGGAGGCTCACTCTGCCACTGAGATATTATGGCTCCTACCCCGGTGGTAGATGCATCAACCTTGACGAAGAAGGGGAGTTCAGGATTGGGATGCACTAGGGTAGGAGTGGTGCAGAAGGCTTTCTTGAGCTGGTTGAAGGCCTTGGTAGTTTCAGAGTTCCAGGACAGAGACTTGGCCCCATGTTTCAACAAGGAGGTTAGAAGTTGTTTATGAACATCCTGTAGAAGTTTACAAACCCCAAGAAGTGTTGTAGTTCCTTGATCAATGTATGTCGTGGCCAATTCTCAACTGCCTGTACCTTCCTCTGGTCCATGCAGATGCCGTGTTGGTTGATGACCTAGCCAAGGAAGTGGATGATGTCACAGTGGAACTCGCACTTCTCAAGCTTGACATAAAGGTGGTATTCTCAAAGCTTGTGGAGGACCTGCATCATGTGTTAACGATGTTTGGCCTGGTTCCAGGAATAGATGAGGATATCATCAATATAGACGATGATGAAATGATGAAGTAACACCTCGTTCACGAATCCCTGGAAGACGGAGGGTGAGGTGGACAGTCCGTACGGCATAACGAGATATTCGTAGTGGCCAGATGGTGTTCCAAAAGCTGTCTTCCACTCGTCACTCTCCGGGATTTTAATGAGGTTATAATCTCTCCGCAGGTCCAACTTTGTAAAGATGCGAGCTCTCCATAACTTCTCCAGGGCTGCCAGAACCAGAAGAAAAGGGTACCAGAACTTGACCATTTGGGACTTGAGAGCTTTTGTTGTCCTTTTTACCCACGTAAAATAAACTAGAAGAGGCAGGAGAAGTGGATAGACAGATGAATTCTTGCTTGAGAGCCTCCTCGATATACTCCTCCATGGCCTTTTGTTTCAGGATGGACAGTGGGTAGACTTTACCATGTGGAAATGTAGCCCCAGGCAGGAGGTTGATTGCACAGTCCCATGGCCAATGTGGTGGTAGCTTGGTTGCCAGTTGCTTGCTGAAGACATCTCGGAACGCCTGGTATTCTGGAGGAATTTCCTGTTGCTTGGAGGTGTTAGGACTCTCAATGGAAGTGGATCATACAACGATTTTACTAGAAGAAGTAAAATCTTTATCTATTTCTGGTAATGCATTTTAATGATGAAGTATCATGTGGGCATGTAAATACCATTGGCTCAGAGTGCATTTTGAAATCCAGACAGCGTTTTGCTATATTTATCATATTTTAATGAATATGCAACCCCAAGTGTCCTATCCATTAGTGTAAATGCATTTAAGAAAAATGACATTTAAATGAAAATTTTGCTACAGTCTTTGCTTGGACATGATAAAAATATCCCATCAGTTTGGGTTATACATTTTAACTCTTGCCATTTTGTATTTGAAGTTGAATATTGCTACATATATGCTTCCATAGAACTTCTGGTTATGATGTAGTAATTGCAAATTGAACCGTGCTTTACATGATGTCTCTTTATAGTGTCCTTGCATATATCATACACTTGGCCTGCAATCCAAGTGTCTTTAAAACATTTTTTTCCCCCAGTCAAGTCTTACTCCCAAAACATACTGCGGCCATAATTTTGAACCGGTTTATTTCAATACTGAGGACATGGAAATTATTTATTTTTTTCCTCATAAATCAATAGTATTTTTCCATTTTGAATGAATGAATTCCAGTCAGATCAAAAGGCCTTATTTACATACAAATATTTAAATATCACAGAAAAACATACTGGATGTGTTTATATTACATTACATTATGTAATGATTGCATGGCGTTATCATCTTTTTTCACGAAGCTGTGGTCTCTGTCAACTTCTTATCTTCTCAGCCAGTGACAGCAGCTGCTTCCTTCCTTCAAAAAGCAAAATACTTGCAGCCATGGCAGAGTTCAGGCTGTCCACACCATATACCATGGGGATCAGTAACCTCCGTCCTCCAGTCCTCTCAGCCAATCGCAAAGCCTCCCGACTCAGACCGTGTGATTCTCCACCAATTACAAGACCTGTGTGCCTAGCAACCCAATCAATGTAATAATACTGCGTCTCGAGGGATTTGCCACTATCATAATCCTCAAAGCCACAGAAATCATCATCCTCATATTCCACCTTCCTTGGGTACTGATGTCCTCTGACCCAACCGTAATCAGAAGGCTTTTTCTGTTGTTGAGGGATTACGGTATTGTTATCTTCAGTCAAGGTGGTGCTGCAGTTGTCAGCTACGTGAATGGTTGCTGTTTTGGGCAGGTGACTTGGAATATCACTCCATGTTAGGCTTGGGATTACAGGGAGACAGAAGTGAGCGCCCATGGCTGCCCTAAGAACTTTGGGCTCCCAAACATCCACACATCCTGAGGGGAGATTGCCAGAATTTAATTATAAACAAAATCAATAGATAATCAATAAGAACAATAAAATCAATATCAAGTTTCAACTGTAAAACTGTCAAATAAATGTCACGTAATCACTGCGTAATATAATATATGAAAGTAAATATCTAAATGAATGTCAATAAAAATCGGACCATTTGAAACGTCGAATTAATTTGACTAATCATTTCTGATATTTAAAAAGAATACTTTTTATGAAAATCTTTAAGAAGTTCACAGTGTTGTTGAAGATAAAATATAATGCAGATATCATTAGGTTAAATATTGATTATTAATCACTCAAACCTCTTTCTCTACATAACTGTCTGTCACACATATCCACCATGTTGATAGTTTTTAAAGACTTTTTATTTGCGTACATAGTTATAATCAAATCCTCATCCAATGTGCAAAGGGTTATATGGGTAATATTAGCTATTAGAGCAGCATCTAATTTCAGAGGCTGCATCCTCCCGATGTCGCATTTGAAGGGTGCATTTTAAATAAAAAACATTTTTAATAAATGACAGTATTTTACACCTCACAGGGAATAACAGTCAATTTGATTACGTATGCAGCCACCAAATGCGACCTCCGGAGGATACAGCCTCCAAAATGAGATGCAGCTAGAGTGTTCATGGATCTGCATTTCGATTTTCAACCGGAAATAGTAAACCATCTATACATCATGTATCATTATACAGTGGGGCAAAAAAGTATTTAGTCAGCCACCAATTGTGCAATGTGGACTCGGCTATTCTGTTAGATTAGAATGATTATTACAACTATATCTCTATTGTTATCATTATAGTTATCACTCTTGGTGTGAATGGGCATTTTTTTTAAAGATAAAAGTTTCATAAGTAAATCAATTGAGAATGTCTTAGCTTTGCTGATACCTTTAGTGAGCAGCACACTGTGACACCCGGCGGCAGCAGCAGAGCGTAACACTGCGGCCAGGTTTCCAGGGTCTCTCACATTGTCACAAATCAGTGTCAGAGGCACAGGCTTGCCATACTTTTCTTCTGAGAATGTTAAATGGGATGCTTCGGGCCGCTTGAATATGGCTGCAATTAGAAAATATCCAATTAAGGTGCTGCTGTATGAGCGGGACATTTGTTTTGTTTTGCTAATGCAGGTCTCTTACCTATTATGTTTTTTGAGATGTCAAGATCAGACCAGATTTTAGGATCTTCCTTTCTGACTTTCACAATGCTGGTACGGCTGAGTTTATCCAGGGGAAGCTCCCGCAGTGCATCCACTGAACTGAAATAAACAGTTTGCGCTACGGCCCCTGCATCCAGAGCGCTGCGTATAAGACGCTTTCCCTCCAGAACAACTTTACCTTGCTGCTCCCGAAGCTTCTTAGATCGAGCTATGCTGACCAACCTCCTGCATATACAATGGAGATTAAATGTCAAATGACATTTAACAGTGAAAACAACATCCACAAGATGCAAGATACACTATTCATTTTTCACAACCTTAAGTGACTACATTAAGTTTACTACAGAAAGCCTTTTACAAAGGAGAGTTTTTGAATTTTTTCCCCCCAGAATTTATTAAAGGGGTCATATGATGCTTTTTTAAAGATCATTATTTTGTGTATTTGGTGTAACATAATATGTTGACATGCTTTAATGTTCAAAAAACACATTATTTTTCAAATACTGTACATTATTGTAGGTCCTCTATGCCCCGCCTCTCTCAAACGCTTCGTTTTCTACAAAGTCCCTCCTTCCGACAAGCGTAGTCTTCTCTGATTGGCCAGCTGACCCAGTACATTGTGATTGGCCGAACATCGCAAGCACTCGTCGGAAATTTAGCGCCCCTTACCATAATTGCGAGCTTCATCTTTCAAAATAAATGTAAAGAAAGCCTGAAAGGGGAACAGTCTCGTGACCGACACCGTGATGAATATGTGTTTGCAGTACACAAGCCACGGTTAAGACAGCTGACTCCACTGTGACCCTGCCTCTCTCTCTCTCTCTCTCTCTCTAACACTTAAGCTAATAACAAAACAGTAGATGATTCAGAAGAGCCAGATTTTCGTAGCAAAGTCAGAATTACCTCCTCTCCTAGGTTCACGAAACGGTCGTCTATAAAATGCATTGCTGTTCTGTTGTAAGTGATCTTAAAGATTCCTAAATGCATCTACTTTCGGAAGGCCAAATAAAGTGCTTTTGCTTTCGCACTGAAACACACAGCGTCTCCCTGACATGCTGCTTCAACACTAACTGCGGTTACTGAAACCACGCCTTCTTTCTTTGCGTGCACATTTGGGCGGCATTATGCTAATATTTCCACATAGTGAGGTAGATATGTGGGGGCGTGTTAGAATGAGCCGTTTTAGGGGGGCGTGGCAGAGTCTTAACTTTGATAAAGAATATCTCTTTGGTTTTGAGACTTTAGTCTTTGCAACTTCAGGGATCTTATCTATGCACAATCAGCTTGTAACACTCCAAAGAGAAAGGAAAACTTGAAATCGCATCATATGACCCCTTTAATAAATAGCTTGTCATTCAGAATTATTTAAAGTTTACAAAATTGTCAACACTTTTGTCTTCATACTCATTTCTTGCATATTCAATTTTATCTTTAAATTCGTTTTTGCAAGAAACAAAACTAAAAAAAACAGCTGTAGTGCTTTGTATTCTCGGGCACGAATCACGTAGTAACAAATGTGAATATTTTACTCACGTCAAACTCTTGTCCCCAGGTTGTGCTTTCTCATACAACAAACCATCAACTTCTCCAAAACGGGACAATGTGGTGGGCTGATGATTGTCGCAGAGGTCTGCGTTTATCACCTTCTCCTGAGGTAATTGTGAGAACTGTACTGAATCCCCCCTAGAATACCAGCTATAGAAAAGTCTTTGTGATCAACCTTCTTTAATGACTGAATAAAATGGCATCTTTCTTTGTTGTATTTCCTGCAATGAAGCAGTACATGTTCAACTGTTTCTTGCTGACTACAATAAATACATTCCCCAGTTGGGTGCTTGCCAATTTTAAACAAAGTACTATTAAGTCCTGTGTGTGATCTATTCTCAGTCGAGTTATAATATTCCCTTCCTTACGGTTTGACAAGTGAATTTCCGGGATGTGAGTTTACAAATGCTACCATGGCGAAGGCAAGTCACGCGTTTGTCCTACGATTACCTAGGAGGCGACATTTCCTTATTAAATAAGAACATATTCATAGTAAAATATTATAAAATAGCTTCTTATAGAAATGCTTGAAAGAAATGCATTGATCACTACATGAAATATATATAAAACGTCCACTGATTCAGTTTGATTTTCATTAGCCTAATTGTTTTTCTCAGTGATCTATAAGTGGTTTAAATATACAACTTCAGTGGAGTCGCCTTAAAGGGGTCCATATGGATTTTTTTTTAATTATTTTAATATGTTCCTTGAGGTTTACTTATTATGTTAATCAAGTTTTTTTGCACAATAAATTAATAAATATATGGAAAAAAGATTATTTTCAACCTCATTCTGACCCTCTCTCTACAACGACCTGTGGTTTTAAGGGGCGGGTCCTAAGGCTTATTATCAGTAATCAGCGGTGTTATGATTGGCTAATGTCATTGCATAGGAAACAGTATCAATGCCCCTTCGCTATTGCATGTGTGTTATGACCAGTGTTGGGGAAAGTTACTTTTAAAAGTAATGCGTTACTTTACTAGTTACTTGAAAAAAGTAATCTGATTACGTAACTCGCATTACTTGTAATGCGTTACCCCAAACACTGGTTATGACAATATAATTAAAATAAAATGGTCATTTCCAGACATAGCATAATGAAAGCATTTACTTATGGTTTGTGATTCAGCTGCAGTCAGATCTAGTACCGCTTCATCTTTCAACAAATGCTTCTTTGTGAAATCTCCATGACATTGTGCCTCGTTTACAAAACAAAATTTTCTGGACATCCCTCTCACACAATCTGGGATGCCATTAAAAATAAACTATCCACTTGTTCCTTATGTTGGGAACCTTATGATTTCTGTACAAAGACGCAAAAACGAGCCGTTAAACCAAACGTTTAACCAAAGCAAACGTTCTTTTACTCCATTTGTCCTGACTACAGACTGATGCTCTTGGACTGCATCAGGAAGCGAACACGCATCTGTATACTGTATCTAGTGTAGACAAGATAGCGGCAGTTATTGTAATTTCTATTTGCTTTTGTTGCGACGCGACACTCGCATTCAGTATGATCAAGCCTTAAAGGGTTAGTTCACCCAAAAATGAAAAGTAGCCCATGTTTTACTCACCCTCAAAGCATCCTTTCTTCTTTCAGATGAATCCAATCGGAGTTATATTATTCTTATTCTTCCAAGCTTTAGAATGGGAGTAGCTGACTGTTTTTGTTCAACAGTCCAAAAGTTGTCAAATAAAGTGTGCACATCCATAGTAAAATGTGTCTCACATGACTCCGGGGGGTGAATAAAGGCCTCCTGTAGCAAATCGTACGTCTTACGTCATCCGCCCAGAACAGCTTGCACGTATGACAGTCAGCAGAAGTGAGAAAAAAGTATTTATAGCATTTTAAATATGGATATTTTTCTTACAAAAACGCATGGATTTGCTACAGGAGGCCTATATTCACCCCCCGGAGCCATGTGAGGCCCGTTTTATTATAGATGCACGCGCTTTATTTAACTAAACAACAAAACTTTTAACAAAAACACCCACCTACTCCCATTCTAACGCTTGGAAGAGCAAGGACAATAATATAACTCCGATTGGATTCATCTGAAAGAAGAAAGTCATATACACCTAGGATGCTTTCATGGGCTAATTTTCATTTTTGGGGGAAATAACATTATAATAAATAAATAAAATTAGCTGCTCTCTGAGGGTTATTACATAAATGCTCTTTTTTTTTATTGACGATGAGGACATTTTAAGTTATGAAACTTGCAGGATGTATTAAGCATACAAAGACCTCTTCTGTGTAAAAAGATCCATGGGAATTTGGTTTCTCCTGTCATGATATGTCCACTTTAATATATATCCTATGTGATGAAAAATTGCAAAGTTTCATAATGAAATATTGAAATTAATGTCATAATTGCAGATTGTTAAAATGCCTTATGTCACAATATGTATACTAATAAAACATTTGTTTATGATTATATTTAAATATAGATATTTATATACATGACTTTTAATGTATAATTTAAATATTGAAATTAAATATCAAGAGTAAATAAAAATTTGCATACTATAGGCCTTGATTACATACTTATTACATTATACATTAGCCTACATAGGCTACAAATTATTTGCAGAGAAAAAAAAGAGAAAAAAGTAGCTATGTAATTATTTTTAGCATTGATTTTTCTTTTTGAAAAGCCTCACCTAAGGAGCCACATATGGTTCTCCTTTGTAAAGGAATGATTTCAGTGTAGCTCTCAGCATTATCATTCATGCATTATGGGCAATTGTGCAGGTACTGTTTCTAATCCATTATTCTGAAGACATTTGATGTGTGCATTTGTGTATGTGTATATGGAACGTGTGTGTATCTGTGTATTTGTGAACAAGAAAAATAGGGACAGAAAGAGAATAAAGCTAAACTGTCATTGAGACTTTGAGAAACATGTATACTATTTGTCAAAGTACCATATTTTAAAACTGTACACGTTTCTCATAAGTATTTTCTCATGAAGCCAAAATCACATTGCCTCTGCATGAAAAGGGCACTGCACAGTTTATTTAAAAATAAATAAAAATTCAGACAAGAATATGACAAATGTTCAAAATGTCTAAATAATAAATCAGGAATAGTGTTAGGCAGAATTAAAAGTAATGAAGGTTCATACGTTGTCATAAATTCAGTCATACCAACTGTGCATTCTGCAACAACACTGTTCATCATGAGATAATCCAATCCCTTGTCTTATGTAACCCAATGACGCTGAAAAGATCAGCTGTCACATGTGATACACTTGTGTGTATGTTTTAGTCAGTATAATCTGACAAAAATGAGAAATAATCCAGAACCAGTGTTAATAGCATTAGTTATAACATATAAAAATGTTATATGAAATCAAATAAAATATACATTATAAAAACATTATGTTTTATATGTTTCATAGTTTTAACTTGATGTGCTATCAATAACTATAAAACTATGTAGACTTAAATGATAATACAAAAAAAACTAAAATTAAAATAAAATATTAAATATTAAAAAACAAATTAAGAATATTAATAAAAACTATAGTAATAACTCAGTGATTAAATAACACTATCCAGAACACTCCTGGAGCACAAATAAATTATATTTTTCATTTTGCTTGTTTTTTCCCCTCTACATCATTGTAAGCAACAAAAATCCTGATCTACTATATTTATTTTTCTTTCCTTTTTCCATTTCATTTCTCTTTTGAGTTTTTACTGTACTTACTTTTTCCATTTCTGCACATTTTGTATGTATAGGCTGATTAGGAGAGAGCTAAACTGAGTCAAATAATTTTTTTTGCAGTGCTGTGAGTCCCCAAAACTGTATGTAAAATCTAAAAATAAAGAAGGAACTATTTTAGGTTCCCCAAAGAACCTCCCTTTGAACAATATTTTAAAGAACCTTTTGTGCAATGGATCCAGATGGTTAGGGTTCTTCATGGAACCATCAATAAAGAACCTATTTTTAAGAGTGAATATAATAACAATGCTTAGATATAACTATGAATTAAAAGAAAGCGTGACTCTATTACGGTGGCAGAGAAGTGCAAAGCAAATCACAATTCTGAAAACAAAATAACAAATTACAAATGCAAATGCAAGTCTAAAAAACAAAATAACAATTCAGAAAGCACAACAACAATTCAGAAAACATTATAACAAGTCAGAAAACACAATGACAAATTCGAAAACAAAATAACAAGTCAGAAAACACAACGACAAATCAGACAAACCGGAAGAGGTAGGTATAGTTTGAGACAGCGCCATTGGTTTGGGATTACTCACCGCTGACTGGACGAGACATCTGTCAATCAACGTATACAGGGAAGAACCAGCCGAAGAACAGCAGAGTCGTGGTAGAAAGTTCAGAGATGGTATTAAAGTAGCTCAGTTTAAATGTATTGTATGAATTGCCCTTACTATAGAATAAAAAATACGGAGTGTATATTAACATTTAGTTAAAAGTGGCTGTAAAACATCAGCTCCAGTGGTGCAAATGGATAAGTGCGTGTTGATGGCTTTTTGACGCGATCGACCCGGGTTCGATCCCGCCTTTTGCCGAACTTTCTTTTTCTCCCTTTTCAAATCTCGTATCACATCGTAAAGGCATTTATTTTCAATAAAAATTAAGGAAATAATCAAAAAGTTGAAAATAAAGTATCGGGTAGGGTTAGGGTAGGTGTAGGGAGGGCTTTATTGTACCAATAAGATGGCATCCATTTAATAATTAAAATTATAATTTACACTCAATACGTTAAAAGACGGAATCGAACCCAGGCTGATCCCATCAAGAAGCCAAGGACATGCACGTATCCATCTGCACCACTGGAACTGATGATTTACAACCACTTTTAACTAAATGTAAATAGACACCCCGTATGTTTTATTCCAGAGTAAGGTCAATTCATACAATACATTTAAACTGAGCTACTTTAATACCATCTCCGAACTTTCTACCACGACTCTGCTGTTCTTCGGCTGGTTCTTCCTGTATACGTTGATTGACAGATGTCTCGTCCAGTCAGCGGTGAGTAATCCCAAACCAATGGCGCTGTCTCAAACTATACCTACCTTTTCCAGTTTGTCTGATTTGTCGTTGTGTTTTCTGACTTGTTAATTTGTTTTCTGATTTGTCGTTGTGTTTTCTGACTTGTTATTTTGTTTTCTGATTTGTCATAATGTTTTCTGAATTGTTGTTGTGCTTTCTGAGTGCATTTGCATTTGTAATTTGTTGTTTTGTTTTCAGAATTGTGATTTGCTTTGCACTTCTCGGCCACCGTACTCTATGGTACTTATAACGTCATGTTTCAGCTCCTGATACTGTTTCGAGTGGGCGCTGGAGTGGGCGTGGTCTAACAACTCGCCAAGAAATCCGATTGGGTGACAGTAACGTGGGAGGCTGCGCAGTATTCGTCGATGCTGTCGGAGATTATCTTGTTTTTGTCGCCATATCTGTCAGACTGAAAACGACTCGGTAGAAGATGAGCTCGCCTGTGTAGTTCAATGTGAGACATAATGTTAAAGCTCTTGTCCTGTCCATATTCGAGCGGTTATAACAGTAATGCAGGTTGGTGGTAGAGCTCTGTCACTCACTGACACTGAAACTACAAGCGACAACATGGATGAACAGTATTTAAGATTCAACTAATATTTCACGCAAACGACAAATGTGATGGGTACCGATGCTAGCAAAAACAGCAAGGTTAGTTCTTTAAACGATTTTCTTGGTAAGAGTAGTGAGAAAAGTTGGAAACATTGTGTGTACAGCCTGTGCTCTGGATGTTTGATCTGTACTTGTTAAGAGTTAATCAATGCATGTTTATTTTTAGAAGCTAAATGTAATTATGGCATTTAAGTCATATTTATTGGGGGGGGGACATAAGTTTGTTATATAAAATTGTGTTATGTATTATATTTATTTTCTGTTCAACTAGAGGGAAACTATGAGACGGTGTTTTTTAAACATTTAGTTTAAATACATATTTATAGTTAATAAATACATAGCCATTTTACATTTGTTTGGATTTGACTGAAAGCAAAATCCAAGGGAAAAGCATGTCATCTACTTTAATTATTATGAATATTATGGTGATTCCTTGACTATGGGCAGTTTTGACTTGATATTTCGTATTTAAAAACGTTTTAAATGTACATTGGAATTTATGGGATATTCAATGTATTTCAAACTGACTGTACGCATCTGTTTTTCATAAATTCATCATTACCACGGCACACTGTTAATTGCACCACTGCCGATTATGTTGCGGTTAGGGATGCACGATATATCGGCCACCATATCGGTATCGGCCGATACGGTAATGACACTGTTGAACTCTTATAGGGATCAAAAATACTTCCATTTGCCATGGACTGCATTATAACGACTTTTTACATTTTTGCTCCCATAATTCCATTCCATAATTCAATTTGCTGTGATATTTTATTCACTCATTCTCTCTCATACACACACACTCACATTAATTGACAATGTAATATGTGTCCATATTTATTCTTCCATAATTCTCTCTGGTGTAGAACAGTTAATTTTAAATGACCAAATTTATTTACAAAATTTCTCCTTAAACTATGTTGTTTATAACCCATTATTGTATTATAACCTCTTGTATATTTATTCAGTTTCTTATTCTTATTTAAAATAAAAGAATAGTATCCACAGTTACAGAGACATCCAAGAGTATGTTAACAAAAATAGGTCATCGCTGGAATATGAGTAACCATGTAATTATTATTTAATGACATTCGTTCCCAGCAGTGTACAGGGTCGGAGGAGCAGTCACAAATATCCAGATGGCGGGGATTTCTCTCTGCTGTGGGGATTTCTCTCCCAGCTGGTCTCTGCCGAATCAACCCATTACGAATCGGATCACATAGAATGATTTGTGACAAGGAGCCATCCATTCCTGAGCACCTGGTCTCTTCATTACCGGGGCCTGAGAAACTCCGTATGGAATGGAGTCTGCCAAGTTTTATCAACATGTTTCTGCCCGAATTCCCCCATCGCAATGTCCCAGGACATGAACATTTTCAGGTGAGAGACACTAAGGACCAAAGATGAAAAAAAGCTTACTTATTAGTCAACATTTTCTTATTTCTTATTTTATATATATATATTTTTTCTCATTATTTTATCATGTCATAGGTCCTGGGTTACATAGCAAAAGGATCTTTTGGTCCCATTTTAAAGGTTAAGGATAAGTCGAAGCATAAGATCTATGCAGTTAAGGTAAAACTTGTATACACCCACACTCATTTACAATTCTTTGTAATTTCATATTTTTACACATTTAAAAATATGTTTCTATATATATATACACTGAACAATATTATAAATGCAACACTTTTGTTTTTGCCCCCATTTTTCATGAGCTGAACTCAAAGATCTAAGACTTTTTCTATGTACACAAAAGGCATATTTCTCTCAAATATTGTTCACAAATCTGTTTAAATCTGTGTTAGTGAGCACTTCTCCTTCCCTCACACCAAGTGCCATGTGGCCCTGACACAAAACCTCCCTGGAGCTCCTACAAACTATTATTCCACCTGAACTCTTTTTTTATTCTGTGAGAAGCTGTGAGGAGGACATATAATCCGAAATGATACATTGAAGTTTATTAAAGTCTCTTTTACTCACCAAGGCTGTGTTTATCAGATACAGTAAAAACAGCAATGTTGTGAAATATTATTGCAATTTTTATATATATATATTTGGTCTTTTTATTCCTTTATTATTCAGACAGTCACAGGACAGTGGAGAGATGACTGGAACGTATTGGGTAGAGAGAGGGGGGCGGGAATCGAACTCTGGTCGCCGTGAGCACAGTTGCGCTGTATATGTTGGCACACTAAGCACGAGGCTATCGGCGACGACATATTATTGCAATTTAAAATAAATTTATTTTAAAAAATAAAATAAAAAAAAATATTTTCCTGAATTTTCAGCAGCCATTATTCCAGACTTCGGTGTCTCACGATCTTTCATAAATCATTTGAATATGCTGATTTGGTGCTCAAGAAACAATTTTTTTCTTATTATCAGTGTTGAAAACAGTTGCGCTGCTGAATATTTTTGAGAAAACCATGACACATTTTTTTCAGGATTCTTTGAGGAATAAAAAGTTCTAAAAAGCCGCATTTATTTGAAATAGAAATCTTTTGTAAGTCTTTAATATTACTTTTGATCAATTGAATGTGTCTTTGCTGAATTAAAGCATTAATTTCTTTAAAAAAGTACCCCAAACTTTTGAACGTTAGTGAATGATCTATGTTGAAAAGTTTACAGGTTTATATTTTAGAGTTGATGTGCCTAATAATTATTAAATATATGACATTAAAGGTGAAGAGTGTAAAAATGTTTGTTCTTCTAACAATTTTACCAAACACTCCTCTCACCTGCCATCGTTTGGCCAAACAGATAATCCCACTTCATATTCATAGCCATTGGTCAAGCAAATGCTGCTGTGTCACAATGCTCAACAAATGTTGGGAAAAGAGAAAGTGTAAAACACTCCACTTTTAATTAAATTTTTATTTATTTTTTGATTCTGTGTGGTACATTGTGTACAGAGTATCAGAGAGAGAGAGTTCCCAAATTCCAAAGAATGAAAGCAAATCATGTTTTATAGCAGTGGTTCTCAACTCCAGTGCAGGAAACCCACTGCTCAGCACATTGAGATCATTAGATTGTTAGCAGAGAACTTTATGACCTGAACTGAGTGTGTCAGATGAGAGAAACGTACAAAATGTCCCTGCAGGACCAGTTGTGAACCACAGTTGTATAGAATATGGGTGCTATCCATGGTGCTGATTTCATGACGGCCTATTTTTTTTTTGCTAAACAACCATCTACAGTTGAAAATCAAATTAGTCCTACTAAGTTGTTATATATCATTAGCATGTAAAATGGCCCAAAGTCTTTTGAACTAGATAGGTTCTAGTGTAGTTCAAAAATAACTTAAATAATTTTGGCTTGAGAAAGCCTGACCAGAAAGCTTGGATTCTTGAAGCTTGAATGTTTAAAGACATGCGGCCTCAGATAGATAGATAGATAGATAGATGAAAATCAGTGTAGACAATGCCAAAAAATCCATAGATTCAATCTGGGCCCACTTACTAGTACTCCACACTCTAAACCTCAAGTCCTTTTCCCCCCCAGTGTTTGATTTCCCAGTGATCCTGACTGCATTTGTAAAAGTCAGTTTACTTCTTCCACTATGATGTTCACCCCTTGAATGCTTTCTCCTAACTAAAGTTATGATGATTGTGTCACTTCCTTTGATTACCACCTGATTCCTTCATTCACAGCCTGCACTGTTTTACTCCTATTTTTACGCTTAATTCAGTCTAGATCACTATTGGGATTTCTTTATATCAATCTTAAGTTCCTATTTCATAGCACAGAGTGTTCTGTACTTAATCTGACCATGATGTTTTACCAGTCAGTGGTCTGGATGAGGGCATAACTGTTAGAAACAGATGGTCTTGACTGATGAATTATGAATCTGGTCAAGTGACAGATGTTTTCTCTGGTCTTAGCCTGTTTGAGTTGGATTTTTGTGTTTGTCTATATTTGGGATTTGCACATTCAGGCGCTGTTTATATGGTTGGTTTCTGAATATTCCCTCTCTAGTGTGTGATTACTGCAGCACAGGGGACCTGTACACATACTGGGTGATGATTGGTCAGTTTGGAGAGGATGTGGTAAAAGTGTTTGCTGCTGAATTAGGTTCTGCTCTAGGTAAGCAAATCTATATGACAAGAAAAAGCTTTTATGTTCACCTTGGCTTCACTTATTTGGTCAAAAATGCAATGAAAACTGTAATGCTGTGAAATAGTGTTACAATTTAAAATAATTGTTTTCTGTTTGAATGTTTTAAAATGCAATTTATTCCTGTGATGCCAAGCCGAATTTTCAGCAGCCAGTCTTAATATGTTTTATTTTGTTGATTTGGTGATCAAGAAACAATTATTATTATCACAGTTGCTTAATATTCTTGTTGAAACCACGATAACCGCTGTATCCTTTTAAACGGCAATTATTTGCAAAAGAAATCTTTTGTAATATTCCAAATGTGTTTACTGTCACTCTTTTGATTAATTGAATGCGTCCTTGCTGAATTAAAGTATTAATGTCTTTTCAAAAAATCTTACTGACCTCAAACATTTGTACAGCGGTTTACATTATATAAATTTAATATAATATAATGATTACAACCTAAAATCACACACACACACACAAAAAAAAACCTCCATGGACATTTTATGCCAAGCAATTTTTGCTCAAGTACAATAGCTATAAATGCTTATCAAAATAATACATTAAATATCATGTTTTATAGGGTTCCTTCATGATTGTGCAATCATCCATCGTGATGTGAAGGTATTCTGTGTTTTGACTGTAATGATGTTTTAATTTAATGACCTTAGGTAATGAATATGAACTCTAAAATGCCTTAAAAACATTCTCTTGTATTTTTAACAGATGGAGAATGTCCTTCTAACAGATCAGGGTAAGGCAGTCTGTGTTCTGTAGTCCCGCCAGTGGAGGGCAGTAGCTTTCTGCTTGGTTTTTGTAAACATGGAATGTTCCAGAACATCCAAGCTTCAGGCTTCCAGGCCAAAGAATACAGCTAGAGTATTTACACAAACAGGATATCATAATAGCAATTAAACAAATAATCCAATCCACTGATTTCATAATTGTGATATTTCAATATTTGTTTGTTAAGATGTGACATCAAAGTGAAATACGGCTTATAAAACTCAAATGACATCAAACAACCATCTAATCATACATTTTATATGTTCATAATATAAAAATATGAATTATTATTATGTAAATCTTCTAATGTTAATATGTGAATGTGTGGGTTTTTGATATTTTATTAAAGGCCATCTACGACTGGCTGACTTCGGTTTGTCCCGGCGTCTGGAGCGTGGAGGAAGGGCGTTCACTATTTGTGGGACAATCCAATACATGGGTAAATCTGTAATAAAAGAAGAAATTAAAACAAATGATTACTTTGACGTATATGAAAAATATATGGAATAATATACATAAATAGTCTCATGAAATGCAAAATGAGCCATTAATGATATTTATGGCTGAGCTAATGAAAGGACGTTTATATGCTAGCTATATGTGGAATGTAAACAGGATTCTTAAGAAATCTGTCTCTTCAGCTCCTGAAGTCCTTAGCGGTGGTCCCTACAACCACGCAGCTGATTGGTGGTCTCTCGGCATCCTTCTTTTTGCATTGGCCACTGGAAAGGTAAGGACAAATGCACATACATGTATATTTGCACCAACATGTTGTGTTTTCGGCCTATTGTGGGATAAAAGAACCGTTTGTGTGTTTCTGTGTGAATAGATGTGTCTTTTCTGCCAAGTCATTCTGAACTCCCCTCCCCCTCCATGTTTGTCTCAGTTTCCTGTGTATCCAGAGACAGATCACTGTAGCATGCTGAGGAGAGTACGCAGCTTCCTTTATGAGATGCCAAAAAACTTCTCTCCTCCTTTTGCTCTCCTGCTTACAGAGGTGAGACCTGGACCTGGTTTACTTGCCAAAATGTTCAAATTGTATCAGTCAAACGTGTCTCAGTTGTTTCTCTGCAAACCCTAAAAATTAAAGACTTAAATGAGATCATTGTTTACATTTAGTAAGAGTGTATAGTTCAAAAAAATGAAAGGGATAGTACATTATTCTGTCATCATTTATTCAAATGGTGCTCAGAATTGATAAGATCCCAAAGTCATCAGTTAAAAACCAGCTTTCAGTTTGAAGTCTCATCAAATTCTCTGAATAAAAAGGAGCCAAATTATCTTAAGATATCCAGGGATAGTTCACCCAAAAAATCTGTCGTCATTTATTCACCCTCGTGTTCCTCCAAACCTTTCTTCTGTGAAACTCTAGTTTGAAGGGAACCAAACAATACTAAAGCCCATTGACTTCAATTGTATGGACAACAAACACTGAGACATGTCTGAAAATATCTTCATTTATGTTCCACAGTAGATCGTGAGAGTGAGTAAATGATGATAGACTTTTCGTCACGTAACAATTTCCGATGAATTGTCCCTTCAAAATGTAGAACTTCTGATGAGAGTTCATACTAAAAGCTGTGATTTTTGATTGCTGGGATCTTGGCGATTCTGAGCACAGTTTGAGACATTGAGATCCATTTATTTAATCATTTGAACCAATCTTTCCTCTCCTCAGCTTCTTTGTAAGACTCCAGCACGTCGCCTTCGGACACTGGAACGCTTCAAGCGGCAAACCTTTTTCCACGGCACACCGTTTGATTCCCATCTGCTCCAAAAGACCCCCATGGAGCTGATCCTGGAGCTGAAGAACCGGCCTGACCGCCCTGCCAAAGCCCGTCGAGGCCTGACCCTGGAGCCCTTCCCAAACTTTGACTGTGACTTTCTCTTAACCTCACCGTGCACACCCACCGCTCCAGACCTTTCCCCGACTCTGGCCAACATGGAGCGGGTAGAAGCACTCATGCAAAGCCATGTAGCTCAGGACGATGCTTCCCAAAGAGAAGTGTTTGTTTAACTTTTTAAAGGGGTCATATGATGCTGCTAAAAAGAACATTATTTTGTGTATTTGGTGTAATGAAATGTGTTTATGCGGTTTAAAGTAAAAAAAAAACACATTATTTTCCACATACTGTACATTATTGTTTCTCCTCTATGCCCCGCCTTTTTGAAACACGTAGATTTTTACAAAGCTCATCGGTCTGAAAAGCGCCATCTATCGAGTGCGTTATGATTGGCCGAATACCTCAAGCGTGTGACGGAAATGTTACGCCCCTCACCATACTGCTGATGCCGTGTCCGGCCGGAGCGATGAGACAAAAACATTAAAACCCATTACAAACGAGGCATTTGTTGCATCCAGTGGGAACATAATTACTGATTATAATGACTTATACTGTCTTTTTACGCGTTGCGTTGCATCGCGCCACGTAAACATAAAACCCTGTCTGCATTTGTGATCAGAGAAATGACAAACAACAAGTGCTACTCTACACTGGCCAAAACTCGCGTTTGAATCGTCAGTGGCAAATCCTTTAAATGAAAGCGTACTTACAGAATGTGAGTCAGAACTGCCAGCATTGTAGTCTACTCTCCCAGGATCAGGAAACAGTCCTCCATAAAATGTGCTGCACACATCTGAATATTTGGGTTGAACTGTTCTGGAACAGTGTTGTAAATACAACTTAACCACTGATTTGTAGTCGTGCCCTCTTTTGGAATACCAAAAAAAGTAGTTTCGCTTTCACAAAGAAAAATACGGCGGCCTAGCGTGAGCTGAGGCTGGGCTAGAATGAGCAAAGGCGGCGGGGTCGAGAATGGCTCGCCCGGGGGATTCGACGAAGGAGCGGCAACCACATGTGACGACCCCGGGCTGGACTCCGCTTTGTCCACCGTGAAAGCCGATCCGGCGATCCACAGCGCAAAGTTGATGTATTTCCTCAGCGACCAGCACGGATCAGCTCTAGGCATGACGAAGAGGATATCGTACTCTTTTGGAAGACCAAACAAAGTAGTTTCGCTTTCACAACGAAACACACAGCGTCTTCACGACATGGCGGCAGCGGCAGCAACAATACTACAGCGAGAATAAAAGTTACGCCTTCTTTCTTTGCGTGAACATTTGGGCGGCGTTATGCAAATCTTCCCACATAGTGATGTAGACATGTGGGGGCGTGTTAGAACGAGCCGTTTTAGGTAGGCATGGTTAACTCTTAACTTTTATAAAGAATATCTCTTTGGATTTGAGACTTTATTCTTTGCAATTTTACAGATCTTCTTTATGCACCAAGAGCTTGTAACACTCCAAAGAGAAATTAAAAATTGAAATAGCATCATATGACCCCTTTAAGACAATTTTGTCGGGAGTTTTAAAATCAGACACCTCAGAAGCACGTGGGGCAAGAAGGAATACTTCAAGGGATGGTCCACCCAAAAATGACAATTTTGTCATCATTCCAAACCTGTATGATTAACTTCTGTGGAACACAAAACAAGATATTTTCAAGAATGTTGGTTACTGCACAGCTGACTTCCATTGAATGTACAAAAAAATACAATTGAAGTCAGTAACAACGGAAACTGTTTGGTTGCCAGCATTCTTCAAAATAACTTCTCTAGTGTTCTGCAGTAGAAAAAAACTCAAATACAGGCTTGGAATGACATGAGGGTGAGTAAATGAGGACAGAATTTTAATTTTTTAGGTGGACCTTTTTATAGCAGGTTATTCTTCTGTGAAGGAATTTAGTTGTTAAGTGTATTTCTTATTGAGACACTCTAATCCGTGCGTTGAATTCCTTACCTTTTGTTGAGACATGTAGTGAAATGTGGTTCATAGTTCCTCATATCCTTTGACGTTATTTGACCATTTTGTCCTCATTAATATGCCATCACTGCATTTTCATTAAACAAACATACCATAAATTCAGTTCTTCCTAGTTTATAATGTTTTGAAAGCTTCACAAACCCTCAGGAATACACTTTAATGCTAAAAGGATCAGATTGTCAAGTGGATATTTTTACTTTTATATAACATTATATGCTCAGCACTGTGCATTTTTTTCCCATAATGCACTGTGGACTGATACTGTGGGAAGGGGACTGTGGTTATGTGTTATACTAATTTTCCTATTGGCTTTATTGTTCATACTGTTATTTTAACCACTGCTGAGGGCCTGGTTGGATGCCCATGTATGCATGAATAACCTTTTCTGCCTGAGATGACAGTATTTGTTTTATGCCCAGAATGCCTGACACCAGTGATCCTTTATTAAATACTAAGCAAAGAATAAAGGAAATAATGTAGTAAAAAAATTTTTTTATTAAATATTGTAATCAATGCTGTGTGTGGTTATTTCTGAAGCCCCACCCACCAACATCACAGTATTGTAGTGTCAGCTTCTGCTATTATTGAGTTATTGATCTCTCTCTCTAAATCTCTCTAATATAAGAAGAGATATTTTTAACACTTTTCCATACTAAGTAAATAGAGTGTTTTGTGTTTAAATAGAACCAATCATTTATTGGTTTGTATATGTAGTAAGCGTTGCATATTTAATTAATAGACATGTTTTGTCAGAAAAAAAATAGTTGTAGGCAAATATTCACTTTCTTTCTTTCTATTCTTTTATGTTTTTATATTGAATATATAAAAAGTATCATTATTTCTATCACATTTTAATTTGATTTCACAAAAGCGCTGACGGTGACGCGCGAGGTCACTTTAAAGACTCATGAATATTCATTATTATTACAATAAGGTCGTGACCAAAGCCACGCCCCTAGGTGGGTTGGTTTTTCTAAGCGGTCACGTTGCGTTGCGGCATTGAAACAGGAGGCTGTCGACAGTAGGACATCTTTTGCATCACTCTTCTAAACAGGTAAGTGATTGAATTGTTTATTTTAAATATATATATATTTTTAATTATAGGGACACTGCCGCTTTCTTAAATTACATGCCATTTACTCGTTTTGTAAACAGACCATTTTTGTGGTTAAATGTAGTTTTGTTCATTTCTATTGTAATTTTATTTAAAATATTTGCTATATTAATAGTGCAACGTCAGTTGTTTGCGGAAGTAAATATGTATGATCCGACAGGTGGTCGTCTCATTTACTTCTCCATCATGGGACAGTGATACATACGTTTTAGCAGTGTTTATAGCAAATACGTCAAACATTTAAAAGCCGTCGGTGTGAAATGTTCGTTTTTAAGGGTTCAAACACTCAAAATTAACTATATAAAGAGATAAACAGAATCATTTTTCTTTTGTAATGAGATGTAACGCACCAAATCTGTTCAGCTTTGTATGTGCGATGTTAAAAGGGGTCTGCAGTGATCGTAAGGGGTCGACGTTCATGACATTCAATGTCACCCTGAGCACATCATCATCACCACCATCTCTCTTCCGTATATGTAGAGTAGAGCTAACAGAAACCCGACAAACCGAATCTATTTGAACAGCGTTTATTTCACAGAACATGCTCATTAAAGCATCATATGCACGTGTAGGTCCATACAGCGCCATGGATGCTGCTGCTGTCTGCGGAAGAAGGGAGTGTGGCCGAGCTGCACGTAGGCCTGTCCTGCATCACTGTAGCTTAGCCTGGCAGAGATGAGCTAACGTGATGAAGTAGAGATTTTAAACACATCCTTACAACATCACACACTCTCTCGAGAGATATTTAAATAATGTACATTCAAATTTAGGTTTAGTCAAAGATGTCCCTAAATGTCGCTTTAACGTCCCACCTACACCGCTAGCGACGCGACTAGAATCGCGTTTGTGATGAATCACGCGAGCGTTGTTCTCATCCTCTCGCGTGTCGTGTGTACGTGCTGAGGATGGTGTCGCTCCTCTCTGAGACATAGTGCTGCTCGGGTCAAATGAACTAAGCTGACGATAAGCTCAGGGTGTACAGTTCTCTAAACGGTGGCCTTTGACTCTTTTATTTCTTATTTTATGTACTTTTTATTTATGTATCTTTTACATAACCATTGCATTTCTCCATGCATAATATCTGTTTGAAGATAAGATGATGCATGTGATAGGTTTTTTATGGAAGCCCGTTTCCGCCACTGAATAAAAAATAAAAAAAGGTAATTGTGATATAGTCACAATCGCAATTCTTACTTTTTTTTCTCAGAATTGTGAGTTTATATCTCGCAATTCTGACTCATTTTTTTTCCGCAATTCGTACTTTTGTCTCAGAATTGCGTGATATAAACTCGCAATTGCGAGCTATAAAGTCAGAATTGCGAGATAAAAACTCACAATTCTGACTTTTTTTCTCGCAATTGTGAGTTTATATCTCGCAATTCTGAGAAAAAAAAGTACGAATTGCGAAAAAAAAAAAAAGTACGAATTGCGAGATATAAACTCACAATTCTGACTTTTTTTCTTGCAATTGTGAGTTTATATCTCGCAATTCTGACTTTATAACTCGCAATTGCGAGTTTATATCTCACAATTCTGAGGAAAAAAAGTAAGAATTGTGAGTTTATATCTCGCAATTCTGACTTTATAACTCGCAATTGCGAGTTTATATCTCACAATTCTGAGGAAAAAAAGTAAGAATTGTGAGTTTATATCTCGCAATTCTGACTTTATAACTCGCAATTGCGAGTTTATATCTCACAATTCTGAGGAAAAAAAGTAAGAATTGTGAGTTTATATCTCGCAGTTCTGACTTTATTTCTCAGAATTGCGAGTTTATGTCTCTCAATTATGACTTTTTAACTCGCAATTGCGAGTTGATATCTCTCAATTCTGAGAAAAAAAGTAAGAATTGCGAGTTTATATCTCACAATTCTAAGAAAAAAAGGTCAGAATTGTGAGATAAAAAGTCGCAATTACCTCTTTTATTTTTTATTCAGTGGCAGAAACGGGCTTCCATAGTTTTTAGGCCTGTTGAAATAAAAAAAAAGCATTTAATTAATATTTTTAAACATTTTTAAATTAAACATGTAATTAATATTTTCCAGAGAAATGGCAAACAAATCAGTGTAATTTCAAATGTTAAGAGAAATTGGCAAGTTCTGTGTGAAGAACTACACTACCCATAATCCTGAAGCGAGATCCACCAATCAGAAAAGCTCAGCAGATGCTCTCATCCTGCTATTTGTAACTGTATTAATATTCTGCACTGAACTCAAAATATTGTTTTCATACTTCATTTTTATATTGCAGTGTTGTTTTATTTGATTATGCCACAGTTTAAGTGCACAGTCTTCCACCATACATATACATTTTTTCCCTCAAATTTGTAATGTCGTGATTTGTTCCGGAGCAGGCTGGTTTGTTTCATTGAAATCCCTGTGGAGAAAATGAATAGGGAAGATACTTCCGGGATCAAAGCCATTGGAAAAATGGGCCGGTCACTGACTCACTGTTGCGCATGATGCAGTGCAGAGCAACAGATGCAGACTGAATCAGTCAGCTGTCACTTATGCCTCATACGTTTTCTTTGAGAAACATCTTTTTCAAGGCTATTGACACTCCCTATAAAGATTTGTTTGAATAAAAGAACAGGTTTTCAATAGGATGGCATTATCAACCTAGGGATAAGCATTTGAAATCATTTTCAGTGCATTTCTTTTCTTTTGTAATTAGATGTAAAGCGCCAAATCTGTTCAGCTTTGTACGTGCAATGTTAAAAGGGGTCTGCAATGATCGTAAGGGGTTGTTCTTCACGCCCATAACTTATATTCGACTGGTTAGCTTCTCTATCCTGCTATTTTGAGCTTGTATATCCAAGCATCTAGCAGACTGATGCCTTATAGGCATTGATTTGATCCACTGTGTTATTTGTTTAAAATCAGTTAAGAATTCAGGCTGTAACTAAATGACTTAAAAGTACAGTGTCTAAACAGTGTCATCATGACTCATCAAAATGTATTCACTTGCATTAGAAACACTGATGGTGGTTATCCTTCATTTAAACAGAGCTTGCAGTTGTCTATGATATATTATATAATAAATTATGTAACATTGGCAAGCAGTCTAAATAGTATCTAGGTCTATCTCCAAACTATTCTCGTTGGTGTTTATAGGACTCTCATAATATTTAATAGAAATAGCTAATTAATAAAATGGCTAAAAATACATTTGAATAAAAATACATTTCAGTTATCAAATATATAAATAAATATTAATTATAAAATTATTTATTTACTTGAATTTTTTGTTAACAATTATTATGTTGGCCTAGGTTAGCAGAAGTATATTTTGCGACTTGGAAACTTTTGAGGTTTAATACATTGGCAATAACCGATAACCCATATTTAAACTGTTACTCCACCCCAAAATGAAAATTCTCTCTGACCCTCCCATAGACAGCAATGTAAGTAACACGATCAAGGTCCAGAAACGTAGCAAGGAGATC